ATTTGCTGATGATACCAAAATTTGGGGTGAGGTGGGCATGCTAGTAGGGAGGGAAAGACTGCAGCAAGACCTGGATAGGTTGCAGGGGTAGGCTAACAAAAACAGGATGCGTTTCAATACTGACAAGTGCAGGGTGCTGCCCTTGGACAGTAGTAACCAGCAGCACACTTATAAGATGGGAAACTCCCTTCTTGAGAGCATGGAGGCAGAAAGGGATCTCGGAGTCATTATTGATGAACATGGGCCGACAATGCAAGGTCACGGTCGGCAGGGCTAACCGGACCCTATCATGCATCCACAGGTGCATCTCAAGTAGGGCCAAGGAGGTGATCCTCCCCCTCTACACGACACTGGTCAGGCCACAGCTGGAATACTGTGTCCAGTTCTGGGCACCCCACTTCAAGAGGGATGTGGACAACATTGAGAGGGTCCAGAGGAGGGCCACCCACATGATCCGGGGACAGCAGGGCAGACCCTACAATGAGAGGCTACAGGACCTGAACCTGTTCAGCCTTCACAAGAGAAGGCTGAGGGGGAACCTGGTGACCGTCTATAAACTCACTAGGGGGGATCAGAAGGGTTTGGGGGAGACCTTGTTTCCCCTAGCACCCCCCGGGATAACAAGGAATAACAGCCACAAGTTATTGGAGAGTAGGTTTAGATTAGACATCCGTAAGAACTACTTCACAGTTAGGGCGGCTAGGATCTGGAACCGACTTCCAAGGGAAGTGGTGCTGGCTCCTACCCTGGGGGTCTTTAAGAAGCGGCTCGATGCCTGCCTGGCTGGGGTCATTTGAGCCCAGTTTTCCTCCTGCCCAGGCAGGGGGTCGGACTTGAAGATCTACAAGGTCCCTTCCAACCCTACTTCTATGATTCTATGAAAATATTGTGAGCTGTTCTACACAAAACCAAAGCCATTTGAGTCTTGGAATATGACACAAAAAACTGAAAGGCAATTATAATGAGGAAGAAGATAGACTATTTTTTGGGGGCCATAACAAACATAACTAGGAGCAATGATCTCAAACTGCAACAGAGGAAATTTAAGTTGGAAATTAGGAAGAACTTTTTAGCTACAAGGGTAGTCAAGCATTGGAACAGGCTACCTTGAGAAGTTGTGGAATCTCCATCCCTGTAAATTTTCAAGGTTGGACAGACACTTGCCTGGGCTAGTTTAGCCAGGGATGATCCTACTTTGAACAGAGGCCTGGGCTAGGTGACTTTGTTGGATCTCTTTCAGCTTTGCTTTCCTATGATCCAATTATCTAGTAGATTTATATAAATAATTCACAATTTGTTGGTCATCTCTCACTCCTTGGATTGTGGTGACCTCCAATCAAATTTCCACTCTATGACTTGAATGTCTGGAAAGCACTTAGCACACAGTGGGTACAAACACATTCAAACAAATATCATATGATGCATGTTACTCCTTATATGCATTTCTCACAGAATTTGTTCCAGACATCTTGGCATATGTCTGTCTGGCACCAGCTATATATATATATATATATAGTTCCCTTCACTCCTCCATGAAGTTATAATTGGAATTACTATTTAAAATTCAAATAGTCTACTGAAAAATATTGCACTGACATAATTTCAACAGCTGCTCAATTTCCAAAGAACTGGGTTATGTGGAATAGCCCATGATGTCTGATGTCTCCACTATGGCTCTTATAATACAGTGTTGTGCCTTATATTTGTCTCCCCCATCTGTGTTACACCTGATATACAGCAATTGCTTCTTACAAGCTACAGAAAGAGAGTGGTCACCTCTGAGGGCAGAGCAATCTCTGTAACAAAAAGTAAAACCAAAGTGCATGGTTCAATCAGTTCCCACTATGGACCTTGGAAACAAACAGCAAAGGACCCTGATCCTCTCTAGTAATGTGGGTTCAAAGGAAAGAGAACTGGAGTTTGCAAGGGCTAGGCTGCCTGTTATGTTCCCATCTCTTCTCCTTTGTCTGCTTTAGTCTATTTTAGATGTAAGCGACTTAGGTCAGAGATCAAGTAGTTTTTCCATGATGTGTATGTATGTACAGAGCCTAGCAGAACAAAATCACAAACCCAGCCTCGCCTCTGGACACCTTCACAACAGAGTAATGCTTATGCATGTTCTAGTGTTACTCAGGTTTGAGACATCTGTTATGTTAGTGTTTGCTTTGTGGGCGCTCCACTTGGACTCTTACCAGAGACTTAGAAACCCCAACTCATTTAAATAAATGGCTTTTAGTTTTACTTTCCTATTTGCTAGAAGTCTTATCTGCAGGCCTCTGCCATTACCATCATTAGTCATCCTGCTTAAAACAAAGATCTTTTACCTTTTATCAAGGGAATCTTTTTCTATAATGTTTTTATCTTCAGCTATAAAAAAGAGAAAAACAAAAGGTGATTGAACTATATCAAGTAAGGGTACATGTAATCAGAAGTATCAAGAGCAAAGTTTCACATGTAAACTTGCCTGTGTATCTATTTGCAAATACACTTGTAAAGTGAACAAGCAACTTATGCATAAGGCAAATGATGAGGCATACAGTCCTCCAATTTCTGCTGAAATTTATTTGAGTGCATGATCTTACAGGGGTCACTTCTGGAAGCCATTCTTAACTACAGTCCTAATGAACTAGATTTTTAAAATTGGAAACTATACAAAGGCACACACAATTTACATGTGTGTAATCTTGATCCCAGCATACAGAAATGATGAACTGAACTGTTTGGTTATTATAGCCTCTCACTGAACTGATCTAGGTGTAACTAACAGGTGAAGTTCAGAAACATGAACACCACTTTCTTTTGCTGAACTGTGCACAATCCACAAGTCATTTTAATATACCCAAAACTCCCACTGAAGTCAGTCAAAGTATTGGGTGCACATGGGAGAGAGGGCTGGACTCATGTGCTAAAGCTGTTAATGATGATTAGGTCCAACTAAGCCCTCTTCCCATCTTATCACACTTGCACATCTCACAATCCTATTTTTCAGCTAGATGCATTATGAGAGCAGAAGTCTGTACTGTACCTTGAAATGTTGGGTGACTATCCACCTGGATCTGCCCTGCAATTGGAAAACACAACATCTCTTACTAACATTTGAGTCAGTTAGCAAAAAAAAAAAAAAATCAGTATCTTTTTATGACATAACACTTTCCCTCATTTATTTTTGTAACAGATCAGCTGAATAGATTTCAGGTACTCAGACAGGATGGGTCTATGCTTATTAACTCCACTTGTGGGGATTTTGTACCCTTTCCTTCACTCCCCACCATCCTAACAGCTAACTATTGAGCCAGTTCAGGTCAATAAAGCCTCATCCACATTACTACTTCCACCCCATTGCTGGGATAGCCTAATGGCAACTCCACTCATGGCAGCACAAGCAGAAGTGTTACTAGCGAACAGGGGTATGTGTTGTAGCCGTGTTGGTCTAAGGACATAGGCAGACAAGGTTCTTTGGGTAAATCTGGTATCTTTTATTAGACCAACTCAAATAGTTGGAAAAAAAGTCTTCTCTGCAAGCTTTTGGGTATAAATACCCTTTGTCAGGCTGAGGAAGCCTCTGCAGTTGGTGTGTGCTCTTTCTTCCTGGATGGAATGAATAGTAAAGAAGCCAGAGGCTGGTATACATATACTAGAGAACAGATAAGCTAGCTGGCTAGGTTAAATGAAATGAATTTAAAAAAAAAAATCAACTTTCACCTGGTCTACATGGGTCATTCCACCATTGAGGTCATGATGTACCAAGCATTCTAGACCAGTGATTCTGAACCAGGGTTCTGCAGCACCCTGGGGTGCCTTGAGATCCTTTGAAAGGTTCTGTGGAACATTGTTCTGTGGAACAATGTTAATACTGTTAGGTATGCAAACATGATTCACGGGATAAACCAAGAGATTTCAAGTACGAATCCATAGTGTCATTCTGACCTGTTACGATTTTTATAAATTCTCTGCAACAAAAGAATTGCTTTATTGTTTTTCCACAGTCAAAAAACAAGTGAAAACTAAGAACTGGCATTTTCTGAGGGGGGTCCTGAATCTAATGAGGGGTGTCTGCAGGCTATAAAGGATGAGAACCACTATTCTAGACTAATGGTAGAAGAACCAAAAGTGCAGATGCAGTTTAGCTTAGCAACCACGCTTCATCTGCTACTTCCCTTTTGTACAGCTAAGCAAAGAAAATGCGTGGGTCTGTGATTCTTTTTTTTCTAATTTTGCCTGTGTTTCTGGAGCTCAGTTTGAAAAGTCTTACTTCACTAAAAATAAAAAAAAAGCCTTACAAATATTTAATTTTCAAACTTGCAGCAGCCTGAAAATGTCAAGTGGCATTTCCTCTTTACTGTCAACCTCTCCAAACAAACATTTAAAAGCATGCCATTTTATAGTGATGGTGGGGGACACTGGACTCATCTCATAATTGACAAGGGAAGCTTAAACGCTCTTCAAGAAAGACTACGCTTACCTGTCCTTAACAATCAATGCACAGATGCTTCCTCAGCCTGACGAAGGGTTTTTAAACCTGAAAGCTTGCTAAGAAAAATTTTCCAACTATTTAGTAGATCTAATAAAAGATATCAGATTTACGCAAAGAACCTTGTCTGCCTGTGTCCTTAAACCAACATGGCTACAACCTACACCCTTGTACACAGTGCTCTGGCATTAACAGTCTTGAAAAAGACTACAACAAGTCAATATTGGCGTGACAGTGCTGTAAACTATGCTTAAGTACAAAGCACTGTGGTGTTAACAGCCCCATATTGATTAGCTCCAGTCACTTTCAAGGCTTCTATTAACAGCCCTTTGACATCTGCTTCCCCTTTACTTTTTCTAGCCAATTATATATAGCAGTTAGGTACAAAAGACAGTAAGGCTAAACTATACAACAAATCAAGACTATTAAATGTATTACATATGGATCCAGTATGCATAAAAGCAGAGTGGTGGACTTCTTTTCATTCCAGAGGAGAGGGCAGAGTTAGACAAGGGACAGACATTTTTCAAGGGAAGAAGACACAGGTCACAGGAACCATTGCTATTCCAGGTGGACTATGGTAAAATAAGCCTTCCTAGAGGTTTTTTTCTTTTTCTGGGTAGTGTAAGATTACTCATTGGATGTAGACTAAAGCAAACCAAGGAAGACTTTTGGCTTAACCTCTGTAGTTATTATTCAAGTGGTTTCTAGTTAGAAAGCTGTCACATTTGGCTTGTAATTCATCCTTCTCTCCCCAATGTACAGAAGCCTCCTGTTGGCCTTAGGTTTTGAAAACTCCAGCTTTCTAAAGAAGGGAGTGAGTGAGCCCAATCTGCATTGGGATACAAGAGGATCCATCCAGGTATTGAAGTTCCCTTAAGATGTTTTTGAAAATTCATGTTATGTGCATGCGCATGTATGTGTATTTTATTACAAGATCTAGAAGTGTCAACGTTCCTTTCATTGATCACCAAAGTGAGCAATCACAGTCTAAGTCAGGGGTGGCATGCCTCAAGTGGCACGGACACCCTCTGTGTGGCATGGGGCACATCAGGGAGGGGACAAGCAGTACAGCAGCAGATAGGGCAGGAAGCAGAAGGCAGAGCAGAACAGACAGGGGATGGAAACAGATTAGGCAGGGGAGGAAAAAGGGAAGGGGATCAGAGTAGTATCAGGGAGGGGACAGGGCTAATTTGTGGGACACCTGCCAAATAGTTTGGCCCCCGCTGGTCTAAGTGGATGTAATGACTAGCACACAATATTGGTGTATTTACTCATGCCTAAATTGTTTGCTCCTGCTTCAGTTGAGAACAATTAAAAAACCA